ATAGGCCTCCTAGTAAAGGGAGAAGAGTGATGAGTTCCGCGCATGAAGTTCTTTCTTGTAAATGAATATGGGCTGAAAAGGATCTAACCACTCATCTTCACATCCGAACGCGACGTGCTAGATTATCGTGCCATCTGCCTTTGCACAAGGGGCAATACTCTGTATTTGTCAGGTTACTGTATCCTGTGAAGCACATCTCCCAGCAGCTGCCGGCTTTTCGCAGGACTTTCGTGACAAAGAGCACATCTTTGTTCCAATCTACTGCTCACTGCTGATAAAAATTTTAATCTCGGAAGTTCCTGTTTGTCTGAAAACTGCTTACCATATAAGCGGTTTGAGAGCTTCCTTCCTTGACGATTTTTCGATGCAGATTTGCACAGCGATCGTTCACGAGTAATAGCTGGTTGTTCAGCAGCTCAACCTTAATTCATTCACGTGATCAAAACTGATTGCTAAACAACCACTTACGGAGTCAAAATTTTCTTTGTTCAGAATAAGTGGTGTATGGTTATCTGCTACACCACTAGAATCACTGATTAATCGTTAGTCGTTTCAAGCATTAAGTACGTGATAAGAAATTCAAGGACGAGTCTCAGGTACCTTTGTGGCCATTGAGATGAGCTTTTGGTTGTCCGATTGCAGCATCATCTTTTTCAGCTCCATCAACTCGTTTTCCATGATTTTTTTATGTTCTCTCTCTATACGCAACTCAGCCTGAGCTAAAAAGATCTTTTTTCAGAAGAATACTGGTGTGAGATGAAAAAAAATCCATTTGCGGAAAAAATCCCACTTCGGTAGACATTTAGATTTTCATTTGAGAATTTTAGTAGCAAGAAGAAAGTGATTTCCCAGTAAATAATATTAAGACTAATAACCAGAGACGTCTGAATTTTCGGCATTTGGCCAAGCGGAAAACGAAAAGTGTCAGAATTGACTCAGCGTCTTGTTTCTTAGCCTGATAAGGGGTATAACCGCTTTCAGTGACAGCGTTCACGATGTCACAAAACGGCCATCTGTGACTTTTATAGAACTAGCGCCCCAGCGTAGTGGAAAACGGAAACGAGCCAAGAGGCAACAGGACGCGCTTCATGTAACTTTTCAAAAAAAATCAAATTTTCAGAGAAAATTAGTATTCTACATTTATATCAACAATAGTCTCTATATGTAGCGCATATACTTCGAACAAGCTGTGGATAGCAACCTAGGACTGACGGAGCTGGCGTAGCTTGTAAGAAAATTCCAGTAATATCACTAAAACGGGGCACTTACATCGACAGTGAACGCGGTCTTGACAAAATTGGCATAAATTTTTTTTCACTCACAGATTTGTCCAAAAATCCCTTTCAATAAATCTGAGCACGTCTTTACATACAGACGAGTGCAGCGAAAGTAGAACTGACAAGTTTCAAATGAAAGCAGAAACAAAACGAGCATTTTTCGGACGGCGTCGATGAAGTCACTTCATTTTGCTTTTTCAGTTGCAGTGACAGGTCAAGGTTTTTTCGCTCCAACTCACTAATTGTTGTCATCAGCTTACTGATATCCTTCTGCATTTCTGGCGAGATGTCGAACTGAGACGCCTGAAGAAGACAGAAAAAATGCAACTTACAAAACACCGAGTGGTAGAAAAACTTGAACTTTTCCTGACTGACCGCAACTTTTCTTTTAGCTCCCGTCTCATCCCGATATCACTGGATGGATCTCTCCAAAAATGCTTCTAGTGACGATGTGAGAGATCTCAGAGGTGTCACCAGTTTAGGATAATTTCAGGCTTACTTCTATGCTATCGCCAACGTCTTCCTGGTCCTTACCCTCGCCCAAAATATCTACTCTCTTCCCATTCATCAACACTATTTCTTTAGTGATACATAAGAAATCCTCTTAAGATTGTTTTTTATTATCTTTACGAATTCTCCTGCGTTTTGAAAGGTTGGATGAGGCAAGGCTTCTGCAATGTGACAAAAGTTAAACTATGAATTTTGTTCAAATCAGGAGTGTCTCTGAAGCAAGCCATAGTGTCTAAATATTACATCAAGCCTATTAGCAGCTTGAGAATTTTGGGCAATTCTTGATTCCTCTAAATCGTTCGGCTTTAAATTTTGCTTGAAAACTAAGCTAACGAAAAAAAGTACAATAAGCTGAGTAATAAAAAGGTTTACCTTTCCGTTTACCGTTTCACTGCTTTCAGTATTTTTCTTTGAATCTAATTCCAGCTCCAGAATCCTGGAATGAAACTCGAATACTCCCAATTTTATTTTT